ATGATTACGCAAATAGTCTTCTAACTGCGTATCTAATGTTCATTTCAGAGTTAAATGGCCATCACCATTTTTTGAAGCAGTTTTGAATGGTGAAGAGGTTAACGAGTTCAGATTTGCGCAGCTGAAAAGAACAGACTTCGAGTCGTCTTTCTGCATGATTCATTTGAGTCTATAGACACTTTTAACAACTGTTTATACGCTGATATGTTGTTTCTGTCTTGGTTCCATTAATTTCTTCGACATTCTAACTACCATTATAGCAAATTGAAGCCGAAATTCTGCTACATACATGGTAAAATTTTGACATCTTCATATCGTCTTTTTGATGTCTTTTCTTCAACAAGGCCACTTTGATGTATGGAAATTTCACTGTATATACATCGGAATTCCAGCTTCAATCTCATAGAATAGAAGTTAGAATGACGAAGAAATTCGTTTAAAAAAGACAAAAACAATATATCGACATATAAAAAGTCGTTAAATAGTGTTTATAGACTCAAATGAATCGTACAGAAAGATACCTCGGAGTTCGCTCTATTCAACTACGCAACTCCAAGCTCGATAGTCTTTGCTGGTCAAAAGTTATCCGAAAAATGATCACGAATCTTTAACTCTCAAATGAATTGTAGTAGTTGTTAACTCTTTTATGCTTTTTATATAACCGCAATGTTCACTACTTATTTGTTTGATAATTATCCAACTGTATTTTCTTATTGAAGAAAAAATAATGAACATTATATGTTACTTTTTAATTGAAATTTCGAGGTGAAAACTCTCGTTTAGACGGAATCGAACTTCTGATGGCTGTCTAGCTTTCATTGCTATCATAAGTTCATTCATTGTAAACCAAGTCCTTGTCGTACGATAAAAACCTGTGAGCTGTATACTACAAGCTGGAATTCTGATGATAACTAGAAATAGTTGATAATAGGAGACTGTCAAGTTCATACTTTTGGATCTGTAAAGACACGAGAAAGCAAAAAAACTGAGAAAACTAGACTAGCTTCAGTGTTCTAAAAATCGATAAAGAAATTGTCATAGTCAACACACTTAAAAAGTTCCGTGAGACCATGCTCATGACTACCAAGACAGCTGATCTAGTAACCCCTGTCCAACAAAAACGTCAACTTCCTTGTTCCTTTGCTCTCGCTATTAATTTAAACCGAACATTACAGAGTACAATAGGAATTGCTACTTTTAGACAATGAAAGAGATATACGAGTTTCCCATCGGATGCCTTGTAGCGCTGTAGTAATAAAGTTTTTCGAGAAAAACTCGTGAATCAATTAATATATTGAACGGACTAGTTTTTTGCCTGTTAGCTCTGTAATTGAATCGGCTGGTTGTCCAGGTGTGGATGTAGGTTTGTCTATACAAAAAGAAAAGATCACCACAAAATTTTATTCTTCCTTTTTTTGTTGTTTTTATTTCATATTCTCTTTTCATTTTCTTGAATCCTCTGTTCGGAATTCTTTTCAGTTTCATCATATCCACTCTTATTTTCATTTTCTTTTTAGTTTGCTTAATTATTCGTTTAATGCATCTTCTTCATCGTGTTTTCTTCTCTTTCACTATCCGTATCACTACACAACTTAAACGCATCACACTGGTGTTTGTATCAATGCATGCATCATATTGCATTTGTGATGCTGTTTTCAGTTTCAACTCTATAATTTCGAAGATAAAACAGAAGACTTCAAAAGACTTGTTAATATTTCATTGAAATTGTACTGATGTTCAAAAGATTTCATGAAACTTCAAAACTGAAGTGACTTCTGTTGTTCCTTGTATAACTTATCCGTATGGACTTGAAAAGGTAAACCTGAATACGTTTTTTGTGAGGAACAAGTGTATTTCCAAATATGCCAAATTTTCTATTTTATTTCCTTTTTTGTAATTTATGAATGTATTTTTTTGGATGCAGCTTTACAAGCTGAGTAAAAAGACAATGTTACATTGACTGTAGTTCAAAAAGTATTTCGATAGTGGCAATTCAATTTCTGCCCAATGGAGCGCCTACCAGTCGGTTTTGTAAACTAAAGAATGTGGATGCTAGTGAGGAGAAAACATGTCTAGAGAACATTCTCACACTTACCATCAAGTTTACAAAATGGCTAATTAGCATTCTATTGGATATGAACCAGCCACCATCACCTGAATACTTTTCGAGTTGTAGTAGGTTGACGATTATCTTTTTACTTAGTTTGTAAAGCTACATGCAAGAAAAATAATTCTATTCGCATATAAGCGTAGAAAAGACGCTTACACAGCTCATCTCAATCTGCATAAATACATGCATACGCAAAACACTTTATTTAACTAATCGACCATGCAGTAAATTTTTAAAGCAAAACTCATGTTCAACGCTAAAAATCACATTTATAAACGCTAAGTGGGATCCAGTTTCAAGATGGCCAAAACAAGAAAAGCCAACCAACATCAGTAATGATTAATAGAAGTACTGATGGTAATGTGTGTGATATACCATCGCAGAAAAAGATCGAAAAACAATCGGATAAATTCTCTAAAGAAAAATGTGAAAAAAGTGATGGAAGAAATACATTTTCGTTTGTAGTGAGTCATTATTAACAATGGGGAATTTGTCAATAGACATTCAATTTATAGTATGGTTTTGTTTTCTTGAAAGAATTCGACTTGCTATTTTTTCTCATCAATTAATTGTAAATACTATTGATCGAGAAGTGAGAATGTCACCAAAATAAATTGCAAAAATTCATACAATTCCATGTTGTTTATGTACCTTTTCTTAATCTATAGTTAGAGGGTTAAACCCGAGGAAAAATTCATAAATTCGTTTCAATCTATATTTCAAAATAATTTCAGCTTTCTATATTAAAACTAGGTATCTGAAATGTTGTTGATAGTTTATCCTCAGTGATTATGGGACGCTCTTTATAGTAAATTGAGTTTGTTATTCACTTTTTTGATCTTTTCAAAATACAAAAAGCTTATATTTCGCACACTTTGATCAAAGAATAGTAAATATCATTCTTAACCTATTCAAACATAAATACATATTGATTTAAAACGAAGCAATGTTTTGTGTTTAATCCAACTGTGGCATTTAACTCAGATATATCACTGATATAATGCTTTCTTCGATGTTTTTAATGTAAGTCTATTGTAATTCATTCCGTGATCCTTCATAATATTTAATGGCAAAACAGGTGAGCATATCAATGATTGATTGTGAAAGCTAGCTAAAGCCAAGTTTCTTTGGCAGCAGATAGAAAAAAAACGCACTGTTTGTTTGTAAACTCCTGTACGCTTTTTCGAACATTTGCAGAACGAAATCGTTCATTCTATTGATGAATGAAAAATCTTGAAACTTTCACAGATCGATCGAGTGATTTCAGCATACAAGCAAAGTTTTGCAATAAATATTATTCATTGCATTAATAAAGATGATGTAAAGATAGATATCAAGATGAGTTCTGAAGCGTCAGGAGAGATTTAAAAAAACACAAAGACTAATTAATTTCTATAAGTTATGCTCAACCAGTGACATTCCTTCAGCTAACTACTATTTAGTACTTTATGGTTCGATATGAAATCTATCGCATTGTGTCGAACAGATATATGATGGGCTTTAGGAGTTTTCGAAGAACACAAATGAATTTCCAAACCATTTCATGCGTTTATGTTTCTTTTGATCACCCACATATCCTGTGGGGATGATTTTTTCATCGCCATAGAAGAATTAATGATGGTATAGGTGATAATGGCGATTAACGATGTAAGAAAATTAATGACATACTTATCTACAACATGTAAACATATCTTTCGGGTTCACATCTCCAAAGTTACCATTATCTCCCATACATATAAAATACTCATTTCCTTCCATATATTCATTATTCCATATCCATCTATGACCTTGCATACATCGATTACCACCTATATAGAGGGTTTGCGTCCAATAAGATGGGACGTCCCAACAGTCACTTTACACTTGGCACTGCACCCATGTTGACACATCTGAAAATTTGTTTTCATTATTAATTATTCATGAATCATTATTTATTGTTAAAGGCACGCTCGGGACATCTTACAGAAAGTAAACAATGATTTTTGAATTGTAATTAATGAATAATTATGTATAGTCTTCAAATGTGTGCCGAGTGTACAGTACAAAGTGTAAAGTGACTTTTCGGACACTCTGTAGTGTATTGACTCACAATTAGAACAGAAATCGGTTGTAAAAAGATAAATATTAAAGTGATAGGAAACGAAAACTACGATATGAGTCCGATTGCATCCAGGAACAGCATTCGACAATGAATAGCTTATCTTTTCTTAGCTTTTATAGTGTTATGTGAAAAAAATTGATTTTCTCAAAAATGTTCAATGTTATCTTGTTTCTCATCGTGTTACATGTCTTAGTTCCTTGTAGAAAGTATATATATAGCATAAGTGAAAGCGCTCTTGAATAATTAATCACTACCTTTACATTTATTCACGAAAAAACTTGTATTATTTTATTACAGTAACACAAACAAAGATTAATCACAATGTCAATTGAGTTCGAAAGCAAAAGCGATCAACATATAAACCAAGTACCGAGGGAATCTCTTGGCGAAATTCATCATCATGATCATAAAAAGGTTCATTTTGGAAAGCCATATTTTGCTATATTATTGGCGGCCTTTACTTCACTGGGTGGATGGTTTTTTGGCTATGACCAAGGTGTTACAGGTGGTATCGTGATTATGAATTCGTTTAAAAATGATTTTTGTATTGGTGTGTATGGTAATTCAACTGTGTGCAATTTTCCAGTACCTGCTTTACCTAGCGAATACAGGCAATTTTTGGTACTATTTACGCTATTGTACAATGTCGGATGCTTTTTCGGTGCTGTTTTCATTACTGCATTTGTGGCAGAAAAATATGGACGTCGAGCTATCATTTTCACATCGGCGATTCTTTTTCTAATTGGAACCTCAATGGTTATTTTCCCACCAGGAGGTTCCAAAAAGATCATGATTTTGATTCTTATTGGGCGAATTGTTGAAGGTACTGGTGTTGGTTGTTCTTCATTTTCCTGCCCTTTATACGCTTCAGAAATAGCACCAACGAATCTGCGTGGAATGCTTTCTGGTTTTATGCAAATGACTGTAGTCATTGGATTGTTCGCTGCTAATATAGTAAATATTTTATTACAAAATCATAAATGGGGCTGGCGATTATCAAATGGCATTATTTTAATTGCTCCAATTACAATTATTATTGGTATATTTTTTTGTCCTGAAACTCCGCGATGGTTGTACAAGAATAAGGATCGTGAGTCAGCCGAGAAAAGTTTGAAGCGCATTCGTAGAATGGATGATGTAACTGCTGAATTAGACGCTATTTCTGATGCCATAGAAGAAGAAGGTAATCAGGTTTCATGGAAAGAACTATTCACAAAAAAAAAGATGCTCGAAAGACTCGGCGTTGGTATGGCCATGCATATTTTACAACAGGCAACGGGTATTAATCCTATATTTACATTTGGTGGTATTATTTACGAAAGTGTGCTTGGAAAGGGTATCATTTCATTATTGGTTTTATCTGGCACAAATTTACTAAGTACAATACCAGCTCTATTTTTGGTTGATAGACTAGGACGTCGAAAGCTTCTCATAATTTGTGGCCTAGCTATGGTAGTTGGTCATCTTGTAGCAGCAACAATATTTGTTACAGGTTGCGATGTAGCCACATCTATAATCAATGGAACTACACAAAGTCAAGAAACTGTGGATTGTAAAACGAGTTCTGGTATACTAATGCTTGTTGCTACTGCTGTTTTTGTAGCATTTTTTGCACTTTCTTGGGGACCAATCGCCTGGATTTATGCAGCTGAGATCTTTCCTCTTAACGTTAGAGCTAGAGCTGTTTCATTAACCACAGGTAGCAACTGGTTTATGGGTACAGTTATGTCTTACATATTGGAGTTAATAGCACCTATAGGAATTCATGGAGTCTTTTATCTTTTTAGTGGTTTGACTTTATTAGCTGTAGTTTTCGTATATCTTTTTTGTCCAGAAACAAGAAGAGTTTTACTGGAAGATGTTGAAGAACAGTTTGATAATTTTCAATTGAAGAACAGAACAGTATTAAAACTATTATGGAAACCATGCCAAAAGAAGAGAAAAAAAACGATGCAAGTAAACGTTATTGAAATGCAATCATAATATGTTTGTAAAAAGAATCCATACTTATACACCTCAGTCTGCTTTTTTCTTTGTATTATTTATGTTTCTGGTAATCAGTACGCCGCTATGAAAGTACTGAATCAAACCTTAAATATTTTTATTTTTATCAAGAATCCAATAAGAATCATTTTCATATCGAAAATATCCAATACTGTAGAGAATATTGATATTTCGATTATCAAAAGTTGGTTGTTAAGAGAAATAATCATGCTAATCACAATCGGCATGAGAAAAGTATTCCAAAGGCTTAGTTCTTCGCCGTAAGGTATTTTTCATCAAGAATTTAGCCATATCTCCTCAGCTTTTTACTCCTTGAGCTTTTCTTCTTGGGTCTCATGCAGCTAAAACTTAGATAGAAAACATTTTACGATTGAAAATAATGTCTGTGTTGCATCTTCTCATGTTGATTTTGATTATTATGGTTGTTCCGCATAAAAACCAACTTTTGCTACTCAAGAACTCGTAATACTGTTCAGTTTTTAGTATGTGCTATATGAAAGTGATCTTTATTGGCTGGTTGCTAAAAATCATAATTTTCAAGGTCTGATTTACTGCTTTCATATCGTCTCAGTGCCCACAACAAAAAAATAATGACACGAAAAACAAATGGACAGAGTGGCATACCTTATGAAAAAGTGCAAATTCCTTCTCTCTTTTTTCAAATATTTTTAATGTAAACTCAGTGTACTTTTTTTTTTATTTGCCATAATTTTTTTGTTCCTTTACATAACATCAAATAAATACCTAGACTTAGTGGAACTTCATCTTCCGCGGAACTTAAGTCTATCGGGTAAGATCTGCATCTTTTACCGAACGGCAGGATCTTACTTTGTATAGAATAAGTTGCTGAGTTGTACTTTATATTGTTTACATAACGGCAAAAGATTAGTAGGATTTTTAATATTATTGTACTCATGTATCTGGAATAGAAACATTGCTGTCACAAATGATTTCATTTTTTTATTAAAGTGATTTTTCCACTTAAGGTTCAGAATTTTACACGAAGAAAGAAAGAAAAAAAGAAGAAACTCAAATAAACATTCTATCAACAGACTAATTTCTTACATAAGTAAAACTCTATGAATGTCTGTCAACATGTAATTGATGAACGCTGTTGATTGATTGTTTAATTATCCATATGATTCATTATCCATAAGGTGAGAGTGTAGATGAGCGAGCATGTTAGTGAAGAGAATGGTCGCACCCAAACTAGAAAAAGTAAGTTTTGTTTTTGCACTTCATGATGTATCCATGCGACTTTTTCACACTAATGCAAAAGGATGTCGCATATATCTTATATTGCGACACTAGTTGCTCGTTGAGATACATCCTGAAAATGTGATTTGTATTACTTCTTCAGCAAGTCTTGTATTTTTTTTTGGAAAATTGAATAACTACTATTTTTCCAGTTCAAATTAAATTATTAGCAACTACTTTTGAAGTACAAGACGGCAAGATTCTAAGTTCCAGCCGCATCAAGTTAATTTGATTCTGATCAGACGACTTGATCTCTCAATATGTTCTTGACTAATGGTCAAAATATCTATTATATGATACATTTTATTTTAATGTGTTGACTTAGTACAATGCGAGAATTCAAATGATCTCTGATGAAGAATATTTCATATTGTTTCGTAATTTTTTGTGAAATGAAAGTAATGGCAAAAATCATTAGCATTTGTCTGGATCAGACACTTTGATGTGATGCTCGTATGCAGTTTGATTACGGTGTCCTTACGACCGCATTTTCGCCGTATATACGTCATATTTATATCGAATTCGACCAACCTAGGTGACCGTACATTGTCATTCGTCATCGTACGTGTATGAGCTTTACATATTGATTGTTTTTACAATCGTATTAATGCGATTTGATCTCATATGAGAAGTTAGCTTGATAATGCTTTCTATGAGCTGATCTATTGTAACTAATCAATGTCTAATAAGTCTTCTTGAGTGATTGACTCTAGAATTACACATGATGCATACAGTTGGAAAGCTGAATTTATAAAAGAAGTGCCGTCGGATCACTACCCTGTTTTGACCAAAGAACCTCTATCAATTCGAGTAAAAAATGTTTTTTCGTCAAACTAACTGGGAAAGACTCTCTATTTTCCTCAAATGTATTTTTCTTTGAGTAGTTAAACTCTATTGTTTATAATTTAAATTTTGACTCTCCCTTGCATTTTTTTCTTCTATTCTTTCTTCCACATGGAACAGAGTTAGTAAGTACATACACTACTTTCTGTCTAATTTTTGAAATTATTTCAAGCTAATCATAAACATGCATATTCTTAAATGGTGTAGTGATAAAAGAATTTACGTAGACGAACAGTCTAGCCTTATCTCAAAAAGAAGATGTCAAACACGTATTTTGTCCCTAGAAGACAGCCTAAGGCTAACAATTGTGGTCAACAACAAACCAAAACCAGTAATCTTCTTAGATTGTATATCAGCGTTTGACAAGATGTGAAACCCGATTCTAATTTCAAAATTGGTCAAATTAGATTTTCCATGATCACTTCTACGACGGATCTTTTCTTGATGGAAAGGAAGGACTATGTCAATTCACGTTGAAGAAACAGTTCAAAGTCCAATTTATCTATTTGTTAGGGCTCTTCATGGTTTTGTGTTGATGACCTAACCATCCTCATATATGAGCCGCTTTAGAACCACTTTTCTAGAAGCATTGTCGAACTAGAAAGACAGGCTAAAATTAAAATTGGTATATTGGTTGAATACGCAGCTAAATGATATACCTACTGTAAATATTAATAATGTCAAAGCTTTACTTTTCGATGATGTTATAGCATCATTATACTTCAAAATGAAGTATGCAGGTATAAGAATTGATCTTTCTAACTCTTTAAATTATTTTGAGTTCGATATAACAACAAAACTACAATGGAGAATTCATATCCAAAGACGTTCGAAGGAAATAAGAAAATATATTGCACTCTTCGAATACTTTGTAAGAAGTTACCCATTACTCTAATGCAACTATGAAAGAAATTGTTCTTTGCTTATACATTGCCGCATCTAATCTAACTTTTTCTATGTTGGTCTTTTTACATTGAGACACAGAAAAGGCTGATGGAACACATCCTATTACTTAGAACTGCACATAATATATAGCCTCGATTGGTCGGACGATCTTACAGTCTATATTTTAACAAAAGAATATACAATAAATGAATATTTACGTAAATATTGGGCAAAATTCGATAAACATCTAGACATTTCTGTCCAACCGCATCAGTATCCACTGACTTTCACTTCATATCTTGCTGCACAAATTCCTGAAAAGCATTGGTATCGTAGCATCAATATGCGCAGAAATAATAAATTTTTGAATCACTTATCTATGAGAGCAGATCACTCGAAACTCGTCCTGTTTGAATTGTTCAGTTTCTATGTGCAGCCATATATGTACTTTAAACATGCAATATTTGTAACATGCTTTGTTCTATATGTGGATACAGTTAGCAGTCGATTTGCATTTTCAGGTGAACGCTCATCAACAGACTTGTGCCAAAAATGTACTAGTTGTGCGAAATAGTGCAACGAATATACTTTCGTATGTATAACTTTCGAAAAACTTCTATCGCGAAAAATCCCATAACAATTCAAAAAAATCACATTTGAAACCGTCTTTGTAGCAAAAGAGCAAAAGTTTCAACCAAATATGTCTTCCGAGTAGTGTACCAATTGAGAAACCAGTTGTGCTAGATAAAGCTCGATGAGATCTGCCGATTGTGAGCAATTATGAGCGTCTTCTTCGATTGAGTCCAAATCTAGGCAGTCAAACCCTAGTGAAACTGAAGACTTCAAAACATGTTATCAACAAATATTCGGTCCAACGTTTTTGCCATTTCAGAAATCATGTCTGTCAGGTAAGAACCAATATAACCCATTGATTATTAATAAATTGGATCTTGTTCAACAAAAGAGTGTACGTTTAGATGATCGAAAACTGGTGGTGTAACGATAAACTGGATTGGGAAGATTTGTTTCGTTCTGCAGTGAAAAACTGTGACGCTCCTGCCTCTTAATAGTGGTGAACGCCTGTCATACTGTAGCTGCAGAAGAAGAAAAGCGGCCGTGATGGGTCAAGTTTTTCCCAGAAAATTTTGCTTGTTCTCGACTTAACCAATGAGTACCATCAGTGGCGCACAATTTCTTATCGTAAGTCCAAATAAAACTAGCCCATCAAGTCAAAAGTCGTCCATGCAATACGCCGTTCAATTTTCGGATCTTATCTGGGTCTCCGTCTATATTAATGACGTCTCCACTCTATGGCGATGTGAATCGTATTGAAGTTGCTCATCATTTTAATTAGAAATCATTTATCAAATGATAGGCTATGCTGTTCACAATTTTTTTAATTTCGATTGGTATAATTACAGCAAAATTCTGTTAGCTAAACTTGAGTTCTGTTCATTCTTTTACGTACATCGATGATATCTTTTTGTTGACTTGCTTAATAACAAGTTTCAAATTTTGAGAGTTTTAATCAATTCTAACATCTACCCAGAATATAGGATATCAATTTGAAAAAGGATTGTATCGGTTGAAAAAAGGGATGACATTAAATTGGTAGAGGAATCTTTTATTTTCTTAAATGAGAACAGTACAATATTCTAATTCTTTCTCGGATAATGAGTCTGCATTTCAAAGTTATCTCTTAATCGTCTTTCCAAGACGAAATATTTATAATCCATTTGTTCTTTGTCTTATCAAATGTACAAGATCGTATATAGAAAGCAAAATCGGCAGTAAGTAGCACTTCTTCTTCATCGGGATAGTCCGAATATGGTGGCACATCGTTTCCATTGATCAAACTAGCATGAATGATGATTAGGACATTACCAAATTGTTCAGCTTTCGCTCGATTTCGGCTTGTTCATGTAAACGCTGGAAATATTAGTTGGATACCAATGTTCTGACGATATTGTTCGATTAAATCATCAGATAAATTA